ACAAAACCAACTGAAATTGTCGTTTAAGTGACATTTATTAATGTCCAATGAACTCAATATAAAATCTACGCAAGGCCCAGTTTTTTTTGTAGATAAAATAACCAATAGTCAAATTTGACACATGTCAAAAAAATTACAAGTGGTTAAAAAATATCAGAAAAAATGTTTTTCGAACAATGTTACTTTTAGTACATTTTTTAACTAATTAGTTAACATTTTGTTAATATTTAACCATTAGTAGCAAAAACCAATTAGTTATTTTAACTATGAATCAAAAACTGGGCATAAGTGGACAGAACAGGCATGTCATAAAAATAGGCAGAAACGGTCTGCGCATTATTAATCTGTGGCGTTACAGACGGCTTTCAGGAAGAGGTATTTTTCGAACAGAGTTGCGAACTTTTAAAAAGCTTTGTTTGAGCGAGCTTTGTAGTGTTGCCGTGTGATCTCATTACTGCAGGCTGTAACGTTAACTACTCGTATTTCAATTTAGTTATTTCATTTTGAAAATTACCAACATGCGAAATATTATCTGTAATTCGACTCTATGAAGATGAACACGTATACGAGTACAAAGATGGCGATTGAGTAAGAAATAAATTATTGCTAATTTTATTGTATTAATATAATTATTTATTAAGTAAGTAAGGTTGGGTAAGTAAGTAGCATATTTTTGAAGTAACATTAGATTTTTAAGATGATATTATCTACTATTTACTGCATTATTATTACCAAAAACGTTAAATGAGATCACATGAACAGCATCAACCTTTTAAAACTAAAAATAACGATTAATAAACTAAATAAAAAAGTGAGTTATGTGTTTGTAGACCGATCTTTTTAAAAAAAAACTCTACGGTGAGTGTTGACACATTGAAACGTATCACAATAGAGTTATTCGTGATGTAGGCATTTTATTTTCTGTTGCATTTTTCCAATCTGTCCTGTGTTTTGATGGACTGTTACGTTCCGAGCCTTCGTATAAACACAATGGTTATTGGTTGACTGTCCTTTTACTTTGCTATGCGTGTATTTTTACACTAAAAATTAATTTATAAATGAACATTGATAAAGGACGAGCACATTTATAAAACGATCTCAACTTAAAAAAAAATACTAAGTACATACCCAGAGGATTTACCTGCAATCTAGAGTTTATTCCATTCCTATTACATCTAAAATAAAGATGTTCTGATAAAGACAGATAAGCTAGTGCTATAGTCACCACAAAAGATCACAAGTTACATTCAGTTAGAAGGTCTACCTAACTGATAATGAGAGATAGCTAATACATAGATAATCATTTTGTTTTTACATTTTTACACCAACCCCTACTCTTCCCGCGGGTGTCGTAAGAGGCGACTTAGGGACTACACAACAAACAGAGAATGGGCAGCAGCGCTCTCTGAAAAACATCAATCTTTTAAACTGCGATCTCCAACCCGCCTGCCAAGCGTGGAGATTATGGCAAATCCCTCCACCATAGTGGAGGAGGCTCATAGTCCAGCAGTGGACTGTAAAGGGCTGTTGATGATGATGATGACAGCACAAGATGTCAGCTGCGATCTAGTACAGGTACATAAGTAAAGGTTCAGTCAAACCAACGCGATCAAACGCGATCAGCCGGCGTGCAGCGATGGCGATCAATGCATTTAAGTCTGTTCGCCATCGCTGCACGCCGGCTGATCGCGTGCGATCGCGTTGGTTTGACTGAACCTTAAGGCCCATTAATTTCAAGAGTACAACGCGACCCTACCAGGCTTAATCAATATAAAAGTCTAGCGGCCGCCCGCGACTACGTACGCGTATCCCCTTTGGGGTGGAGTTTCGTAAAATCCTTTCTTAGCGGATGCCTACGTCATTTTATGTTTTTGCTGTCGGATAAAGCACTTACGTATTCGAAATTGCCTATGTACTTACCTACCTAGTTTCAGCCGAAAGACGTCCACTGCTGGACAAAGGTTTTCCACAAAGACCGGTCCTGCGCCGCCCGCGTCCAGGCACCTCCCGCAACGTTTACCCAGCGGCCTAGATTAACCTAGGTATTTAATTTTTGTTATAAATAGAGACAGCTAGGATTAGTATGGGGATTGCGTGTCCAAAAATTAAATGAAAGAGAGATTTACATAACTGAGCCAAATACGTGTTTAAGCTAAATACGTAAAATACTATTTACGGTGAAATTCAATGTTTTAATTTTTAACCGTTTGTTGATGAATACCTGGTACGTACCAATAATTATTCGAAATAGGTCTAAAATTAAAAACCATTTAATGTGTAGGCGTTTACTTTGATACTATCGCTATGAAATTAACCTTTGTTACTGTTAGAATAAAGACAAATCCACGCGTTGGCATGCTGAGTGGCTTGAATTATTGATACGAAAATTGTGGATGGATATAACTGGAAACGAACACCTAATCAATAAGAATGCAGTGGGTCCGCTAGAATATACTGTTCAGGTACAAATGTACCTATTGGCTCCGTGCACGATTACAGCGCCAACTAGCGTCCACAACTTTGTGGGCTCTGTCACATTGACATTTAGGTCGTATATTTGTGAAAAATTAACGAAATGAAAAAATAACAAATATTTTCAACTAATAAATTGTTGTGATACCACGATTTGGGTGGAAAAAAGGTTTTGAAATCATTTTGGTCATTCAAATCAAATGAGGTAAGTCCAAAAAGTGTGTTTAATTTTGATTGTGTCAGGGCATGGACCTATAAAAAAAGTCGGACGGATTCTCATCAACAAAATACTGTGACATTAGGATACACCAGCTTGCCTGTACGTACAGGCCGGCACGCACACATTCAAACCCTGTCGCACCACTTCGAGTGCAAACTTCACACAGTTGACACATTTAGGCGGCGAAAAAACAACTCGAATACGACATTTCTTGTGTAATGAAATTGTGTAAAAACCGTTCTGTTCGAACAAACAAAAATTAAGGAATCACATTTCACAGGTAAAATAATAATCCAATCACTTATTTCCCGACATTAAAATATTGAAATTAATTGAAATCAAACGTCATTCACTCGAAAAAATAATACGTCAAAGACCAGTGTTCTCAGTTATTTCCGTGGGAAAATTACCCGAAATATGGGAAATTAATAATAATTTTAAGACTTTTTGGTTGTTTATTACGCATACTATAGAAATAAAATAATTTATCATAATAATTGTGTTTTAATGGGAGATTTAATGGTTTCATAGGCAGATTTGATCCTTCCCAAAAATGTAGAACTGCGAAATTCAAATTTTCTTACATTGATTGCAAGTCAGTGTCAGGTTGTATGTTAAAATCTATCCGAGATGATAATAATAATTATATTGATGTTGCATAAGATTATGATTATAATGACAACAAGATTCCTAATTTGTAACTGCGTGAATCATTTTTGATCAACATTATGTACATACCCTGACACTGACTTGCAAACAATGTAAGAAAATTTGAACATTGAAAATTTCGCGCCTACCTCAACGCATTCACCTTTCATCCTTTTCAAATTCTGTCTACATTTCCAAGTAACATCTGCCGATCTATGTTTTTCTTAAAATAAACGGGTAAAATGTTTTGGCTAACTTGGCATCCCTAAATTCACTCACACAATAGACAAACGCCAAAATTTTGCGTCACAGTTTTGTTGTAGCGCGAGTTCCGTCCGCCTTTTTTTATAGGTCCATGCTGTGCACAACAACTACTGTGACTCATTTTTGTACTACCACGTTGTATAGTTTAGTTATTTCCAAATTGTAAACGGCTATTAAAACAGCCCTATCGAAATACAGTCCACTCTTTTATTTAAGTTCCCAGTAGGACCCTTTTCATGCGATTAATTAATGATATTAAAATGTATTATGTAGAATCGCTTTGCCATTGACAGATACATCTGATGACAGAGCTAACATTATTTCTACTTTTGACCACCATGAGCGCTGCGATAGATTATGTCCCCCCCACCTAGTACTTCGCACCCAGCGAATAAATGGGCTACCAATATACTACTGTTCTATGAACTTGAAGGACCACTACTTACGCTACCTATCAGCTACGGACTATTAAGTCCGTATTTCGTATTATTATTTCGTAGCGGACATTGCCTGTTTAACCGAACATAAATTATTATGTTCGGTTAAACAGGCTATGTCCGCTACGAAATAAGCGTTAGGCTATGAATATGCTACCTGTCCGCTACGAACTTACTGATCGGCTACGAGCATGCTACGTGTCCGCTACGAACTTACAGGTCAGCTTCGAGAATGCTACGTGTCCGCAATGAATTTACCGATCGGCTACGATCATGCTACGTGTCCGCTACGAACTTACAGGCCGACTACGAGAATGCTACGTGTCCGTTACAAACTAAGCGTTGGGCTACGAATATGCTACCTGTCCGCTACGAACTTACAGATCAGCTACGATAATGCTACGTGTCCGCTACGAACTAAGCGTTGAGTTACAAATTAATTTGCTACCTATCCGCTACGAAGCTACCGCTGGCAACGATCATGCTACGTATCCGCTATGAACTAACCGTTGGGTTATGAACATTTGTTTTTATGATCCACTGTACGCGAGCCTTCTGCTCTAGTTGTTGTATGATTTGAACCAGAATCAATAATTTACTCCAACTTTGTCACCGACCTCGCGCTGCGTTCTCGATCAGCCAATCAATAGTTAACTGAAAGTTCTCGAGTTTTCCATATCCTGAATTCATTCGAATATTTCAGTTTTGATGGCTGGAGTTAAAATTTTTAAAGTTTATTTTGATTGAAGTAGGTTTATTTTTATTACCTTTCTGAAAAGGAAAAAGTTGTGTAAATTGTAAAGTAACTACTTCTACTATTGATTTATATACCATTTGGTAATGTAGTCAATAGATTTTTATAAAAGTTCTATTACTCAGAATAAAATACCGCATTGTCGATTAGGTAAACTATAATGTTTTTTGAATTACTAATAAGGTCAGAAAAATAAAACAAATGCTGTGTTCATAATCATTATTATTGAATAATTTAAAATGCATCTTCAGTACTTAGAGGTACCATTTAATTTATATAAATACGTCTTTATCTAAACATACATTTAGATCGATTTAAGTTTCAAATTAGACGTACATTACAAAATACTCATACGTAACTAAATTACCCGTTTCTCAAAGTAAATGACACGTTCATAGAAAATAAATTAACGTATTACATCATCGGATCACATTTACCAATGATGACAAGTTTATTATTATTTATAGTTAACTACATCGAACTTTACACCGAGTCTTAAAAAACGTCCGATGAAATCACATTAATACAAAGATAAGCACTTTGGAATCTAATTTCACTATTTTAGTTCTGTCTAGTCTAGACGCTACATACATTTAGAAAATCTACATAATTACAAACTTCACTAAGAATCTAGACTTTTAGAATTCTTTAAAGATCTAGTGTTGAAGGGTACCGTTTTGTTTTTCTTATTTTTTGTATCTAGAGCATTGCTAAAGGTGTCAGTTCCGCTGGTCGGAGTGCTAAATACGGAGTTTTTCGAACTGGGCACACTATTGCCTGGGGACACTCCGCTGTCTGTGCTTACGGAGGCTGGACTGGGACTGTCGCTCATGTTGTTGCAGATCGTCAGTTCTTGTCCCGGCAGGGACACAATCTGCCCGACCTGCTTCTGTCTGACTAGATTTATGCTTTGGCACACGTTACCTTTCCCCTCACCGTCGCCCTCCTTCTTATGATACCTCGTCAGAGTCCCGGCGGACCCCGCCGAGTTCGGACGATACATAGGCACAAACTGGGACTGAGGGTAGTACTGCATGTCATGCGGCACCTGCCCGGGCACCCAGGGACCCATCGTGGACACCACCGGCGGCATGTGAGACCACATCGGCATCGGCATCATGTGAGAGCCATCTGGCATGGCGTTGAAACCTGGCGCCATCGGCATAGGTCTCACGACACCCACTGGAGTCGGCGCGCTGTGAGGCCTCATCGCCGGATGTCCATACTGAGGAACGAACTCTTCGCTGCTCTCGTACACTCGGTTAGGATTCTGCGTCTGAGTGAAATCAACATTCGGGAACACTGTATGCGGAGTTCTCTGCAAATAGGTGTACATCTGCTGCTGAGCTTGCTTCATCGCGACGTACTGCTGCAGGTGTATAGCCGTCTGCTGTCGTTGCTGAACCAAGTCTTGATTGACTGTTGTGGACGAATTGCCGTGTATGTAATAAATATGGGACTGCGTGTTAACCTGAGTGACAGGAGTTTGTCTACCGGCAGCATTAGTAAATTTATTATCAGGGACGTTATTTTGAGGATCCTGATACTCTTCAGGCGGTGCTATGTATTTTGGAGGTGATTGCGGAGGCACTTGCTGAGACATGGGGTAGCTTATGATTTGTGCTATGTACGGTTGTTGAGACTTCGCCGAATGGGCCGGACTATGCGTTTGGAATGTTGGGTTATATGTTATCTGGGAGATATCCTGCCCAGAGCCAGTCATGTCTGCGTCTTTTTGGATAGATCTTTGGTTTTCGTTTGCTTCGTTCTTCTTTGGCTTTTGGTTGTACGGGGCCACTTTGGGGTTGTTTTTCCAGTTGGAACCTGCGCTGTGTGGTCTTTTGACTGGTGATTTTGTGGGGTCGTGCCAGTTGTTGTCTCCATTGACTGGTCTGGGTTCAGGAGGGTGGTGGGATTGGGCGCTGTGTGCTCTTCTTGGAGGCGGGGACATGCCGTCTGGGACGTGTTGTTGTCGGTAGCACCTTCTGACGGAGCCGGGGCTGCTCTGTCGTTCTGGTGGCTGAGGCACTGGTCGAGGCACTCGTCTCCTGGCCGGAGTGGGCGGGCTGGGCTGTGACTGCGAGGACGTGGACTGAGATGCAGACCGCCATTTCTCTAGGAGATTCCTTCTCCTTTCATGCTCGAGCCGCAACTCTGACTCGCTGGATGAGTCGTAGTCCCTTCCCTGGGGAAAAATAAAATAGGATAAGTACTATTATGGTACTATAATAACCAGTGAACAAAAAAATAATATTTTGGCAGCTGTTTGACTCATTATAAAATGATTGCGTTAAACATACCCTTTCAATCTTTTCGTCCAGCATCTTGAAGAAATCCTGCTGACTGGCTGACACTTCACTGCAAAGAGACAAAACGTTATTTGAAATGGTGCCAATCTTTAAGCTGCAGATTCCAGAGATAGGCACGAGCTTGTTTGAGGTTGGAAATCAAGGTCAATATGCAATAAATTGAATCTCTTTCATAATACTCTAGATACCTACTTGGGAAGAATTAAATGTCATTGGCGGCCATATTTTCCAGGCTTAATACCAATGTTTTTGCTGGTTATTGTACAAAATATCTTTACTTCCTGTGGAAATATATTTAGCTACATATTTTACTGGTTTTCTAAGTGGCATGCAGGTTGCGGTCTGCTTACTAAGGAAAAAGATTAAGTTAAATTGTCAATAGACCTGCAACGAAACAGGAGAAGATTAAAGAAGTCCGAAGTTAAGGATCGATATACTGATTATGGTGAAGGTAATCCCAACTAATATTATAAATGCGAAAGTAACTCTGTCTGTCTGTCTGTCTGTGTCTGTCTGTTACGCTTTCCCGCTTAAACCTCGCAAGCGATTTTGATGAAATTTGGCATAGAGATAGTTTGAGTCCCGGGAAAGAACATAGGATTGTTTTTATCCCGGTTTTTGAAACAGGGACGCGCGCGATAAAGTTTTTCTGTGACAGACAAAATTCCACGCGGGCGAAGCCGCGGGCGGAAAGCTAGTAATAATAATAAAGTTATTTATTCACTCCATAATTACAGTAAGTCTTAACTTATTTAAATGATGACAATTCAAGAAAGTAAAATACCTATGGGGTTAGGTTACGTCGGCAGCCGTACTAGTATAAACTATGTCACAGCTGTCTGCACCTTCCTCCCAAAGATCTGTATTATAATTTCTTGGAACAAGGTCACGGGAAGCACATGGATGCGGGCTGCGCAGGATCGTTGTAGAAATCCTTGGGGAAGACCTTGTAAGTCTAGTAGAGGACGTCATTTGGCTAAAACTAATCCTCCTCCGAAGTCCTCACTCGTCCGCTTAGTATAGACATGGGCGTACTCAACTTCTGGCCTAGAAGGGGGCAAGTCATATCCAGCTTCTGACCTAGGGGGGGCAAAACAGATTTTTTAGGTCAGAAAGTATGACTTGGTTCTTTTATAGCGACATACAAGGGCAATAATGTTCTTGAGTGGCGACCACGAACCTGAAGACGTGGCGTGGGCAAGCCTCCCAATAGGTGGCGCGACGATCTGGTGAAGGTCGCGGGAGGTGCCTGGATGCAAGCGGCGTAGGACCGGTCTTTGTGGAAATCTTTGGGGGAGGCCTTTGTCCAGCAATGGACGTCTTTCGGCTGAAACGAACAAACGAACGAACAAGGGGAGGGGTGGAGGGGAGATGCCACACCCCTGGCCTTCCTGGGTGCGCCCATGGGCATAGAGTAGTAAAATAGTAGGTATACTTAGTTATTAAATTTTTAGCGTTTAGAGTCGCATCTCAAACTAATTTGAAAATTATAAATAACTTGAAAAAATCGAACTGCCTAAGGCGGGAATTGAACCCACGACCTTCCGCTTGCCGGGCGACTGCTCTTCCAACTGAGCTACTTAGACACTGGATGAACCCGATGAAGAGCTGTTTCATCTTAACTGACAGTTAAATATTTGCAACAATATTTCTGTTAGATGTAGGGTAGGTATACTCAACATTGATGAAACAAACGCTGGCTGTAACAGCGTATTACACTTGAAAATTTCGACGGGTTCATCCAGTGTCTAAGTAGCTCAGTTGGAAGAGCAGTCGCCCGGCAAGCGGAAGGTCGTGGGTTCAATTCCCGCCTTAGGCAGTTCGATTTTTTCAAGTTATTTATAATTTTCAAAGTAGGTATACTGACTGAGAGCAGCCCAGACTTACATCGGCGGTGGGTGCGCAGAGAGCGGCAGGATATGTTTGTTCTGCTCCTCGTCCTCCGTGTCCTCGGCGGTGGCGGCGGCGGCCGTGCCCTCCTCTTCGTCCGCTTCTTTGTCCGCGGCGCCTGCGCAGAATAATACTGTTAGTTTTATTGTTCCTCTAGCCTGTCAATTATTCATAGTATTCGAATCGCCATTAAAAGATTTACCCCCTACTAATAAAAAGTTACACAGTTGTAAACTGTTTTAAAATGACATTTCCATGCTAGGCGTCACTTTAAAACACTGTTCAACGATCGTGTAAGGGTAGTACGAAAACTACAACAGCACCCTTGTGATCGTGTCGTAAAGTGAACTTAGTATGAGAAACTTATTTTGAGAATCAAAATTTTTCACGTTATCGTTTCATTCGAAGGTTGAGTATCGAATTTTGTTGAATACGCAAACGATTCGAAGACGAAAGTTGTTCATGCTAGAGGTACTGGCGGTTAAAGCCACAAAAGGTGTGTGCTGTGCTACTCGCTGTAGCGTTCTATGGAGATTATCTCTAGTGTTCGTCACCACTAATATTTGCCCCTGACTGAGATTCTAATACCCGTTTTCCATCAATCCCTAATTTTTAAGTGACAGGAATTTTGTTTTCATAGCGGTTACTTAAAAATTAGGGATCGATGGTGCAAACGGGCATAAGCTGCATACTACGAGTATATCCTACTAATCATAAATGCGAAAGTTTGGATGTCTGGATGTTTGTTACTCTTTCATGCAAAAACTACTCAACGGATTTTGATGAAACTTTACATTATTATTGATTATAACCCATATAAACATACAGGCTATAATTTATGACGATCTGTGACGAACTAAATTTCACGCGGGTGAAGCCGCGGGCAAAAGCTAGTGTATTATATTAAGGCATACTTCTTCGAACAAGTAATAGAAAACTCTTTTAAAGCATAATCTAAAAGAAATGTCCTATGTATAACCCAAGCAGTTGTTCTTGAAATCAAATTTAATAACAAGGTATACCAAGTTGTGACAAAGCAAATAAAAAAGTTATAAGTTTTCAACCCCGGCAGCCGGCAGACTTTAACAATGAATCCTTTGAGAAGATCCCCAGAGTTTAGTGCAGTGAAACAAAATATTGAATTTATCGATTTCATCACTTGGTCTCTTTTGAAAGAGCACGACCCTCTCTAATCGACCAGAAACAAAAGATTTACGTCGACACTCCCTATGTTGGCCAGACGAGTGGGTATAATACGAATATTTACTCTGGATGTACATAATATGCTAGGCAAGGCTGTGAGAACTTGAGCTGACCACATGATGAAGAAAAAAACAACTTTTTAGTCTTCCTCACATCACTAAGAAAAATTTCATTAGAACACTAACAACGTTGCCTTGTTTTATGAATTCCAAAGAATTTTCGTGTTTCTCAAAGGAAATAAATATTGTTCGACGCGAAACAAAAAGAAAGATTAATGTACACGCGAAACACCGTTAAATTACATCAGGATTCTTCGGAAACTTTTAAGGGGTTTTCATTTATGAGCTTCAGCTGAAAATGAAGGAGAAAAGACTTAGGTAGGTACTTTTTACTTAAAATTTCCTAAGAAAACGTCATCTATACTAATCTATACTAATATTATAAATGCGAAAGTAACTCTGTCTGTTAGTCTGTCTGTCTGTCTCGCTTTCACGCCTAAACCTCTGAACCGATTTTGATGAAATTTGGCATAAAGATAGTTTGAGTCGCGGGGAAGGACATAGGATAGTTTTTATCCCGGTTTTTGAAACGGGGACGCGCGCGATAAAGTTTTTCTGTGACTGACAAAATTCCACGCGGGCGAAGCCGCGGGCGGAAAGCTAGTATTTCTATAAACAATAACCTACAGACTTATTGTCTTCGAGTTCTTGATAAAGTGATATTTTTTTAAACAAGTAATAAAAAGTAAGCACCATTTTATTTATTCTGTGGTCCAGTTGCTCAATTGTGTCAAATTTGTCACCTGAAAAGGGTGGGAAAGGGAATCCCCTTCAGAGTGGGCAATTCTTCCCTCTGAATGAATAAGTGATTTATCTAACATTTCCGGGAGAGCGGGCCGTTGGGTGATTCTGTTAATTTGTTTTAGTTGACATCTGGATATTTGATCAAACGGTCAATAGGTACTAAAAACTTTTTAAAATATCTTTTGAGACTTGATTGGTACCTAATTAAATCCTTATACAGTGTCACCCAGGCGCATGTGACCGCCCGAAATAAAAAAAAGGTATTTAGATATTTTACAATCCTTTTTAGGGTTCCGTAGTCCTGACAAGGAACCCTTATGGTTTCGATATGTCTGTCTGTCTGTCTGTCCGAGGTTTTTCTTGGAAACTATTGACACTAGGAAGCTGTAATTTTGTGGAGGTATGTATATTAATCACGCCGACAAAACGGTAAAATAAAATTTTGAAAATAAACAATTTTTTAGGGTGGCTCCCCTACATAAAGTGGGGATAATTTTTTTTTCTCATATTCTACCCCATCGTGTGTATCTTTGGATAGGTCTTTTAAAATTACTTAGGGGTTTTTAAGACAATTTTTATCGATTTAGGGATCCGTTTGCAAAATATTACAGTTTAAAGTGCCAATTTTTGTTCGAGTAGGGCGTCTCCCCTCTAAAAACTAAACTATTGGCTTGAAAAATTTGGAAAAATTCTTAAGAATACTGCTTGTCATGAACTTTCAAGGAAACGGTTAAGGTACCTACATTAGTTACTTTAAGAGTAATGGTAATTTTGACTCATGTATTATAAAAATTTTCAACATAAGATTTCATTGATGCTCTACTCCTATTACTATGTTCTGTGCATAGCGTGATGTCATATTCACAAACATTACTATGAGGTCTCACAGTGAGCATGGACGCACGGGGTCAGACACGAACCAATCACAGAGCTCTATTCAACGCTGTGCGTTCGATTTGCTGATTCACTTTTGCAAGCATCGTTTGTGAATACGGGTGATATACTTAGCCTTGTTCGATAAATGGGCTATCCAACACAAAAATAATACAGCTTTGAGAATTCTCGCACTAATATAAATACGTAACTTATAACAAGCTTTATTTTAAAATGCCTCGTGTACCTTTATTGCATTTGTAAATGTTACTTAAGGGACTTTGAAAACAAAAGCTGGGTCGGTCATTAGATTTTCATGCGTTCGCGCCAATTGGATTTGCAATGGATATAGATGGCTTTCAGCGCACGTATTAATGGATTTACAACAGTAATGACATTAGGGGCTGATAATAACATATGGGGGTAAAGGAACGCTAAATAGTGATGTGATTATTGTCGATAGGCTATCGATAAAAAGGGAATAGTTGGAATATCTATTAATAAGTATTGATAGAAATATTGACACGTCTTTACCGATACTGTACGAGTACTTATAGGCAAGGTTAAGAATAACTTTACTTAGGCTGAGTTGCACCATCTTACTTTAACTTTAACAACCGTCAAAAATCTGTCAAACTCCATACAAACAGCACCGGTCATCGTTATAGTTACCGTCAAAGTTAGGTGGTGTAACTCAACCTTATACGCTCGATTACCAAATTGTTACAATATTTACAGCAAGAAATAAAGAAAAATAATGGATATGAGAGTTGACTGAAAACGATTTTCAATACTGTGATTAAGTTGCACCATCTAAGTTTGACCGTAACTTTCACGATAACCGGTGTTTTTTGTATGGAATTTGACGTATTTTTGACGTTTGTCATACTCAAATTCAAATTCCGTCAAAAGTTTTAACTTTAACACATCTTAAACAAACATTCGATCTCTGCTGCAGACGTTGTAGAACGTGTAATGAGTTGGCGAACTTATAATTTAAATTTAAATTGCTACGATTCGCTGAAATGAGTGTGGCTCTGACCGAGCGACAACGCCTTTACAAATGTATACGGCAAATTCACATGAACAAAACCCTCGACAAATCTAGATAACATTATGCTTTAGAAACTCTATGTATGCCATAGTCAAAATATGCATAAAAACCTGGCCGTTTCAGATTCCGTTGTAAACAGTCAGTGCCTCGTCGTCGGCACGGGATGGGTGACATTGACATAATATTATGATGTAACATAGCATACAAATCTGTGGGTCTAGACAAAGTGCAAATTATAATCGCAAACCAGTCGAAAAGTGGTCGAAAAGCCCCTTGTATGGAGTTTTGACGGATTCGATTTGCGATTCGATCAAAAAGTGCGTTTTGTCTAGGGGGGCTGTGGG